GTTAAACCTTTGAACTTCAGCACGACCCTACTAACAAGATTACTCCTGAAGTGTCATTTGAGTTTGTGCATCAAGTCAGGGCATTGCTCTAACTTTTCTCCTTTCCTATGCTGCAGAAGGACTGTAAGCCGATTTGAAATTACCAATGTGTGCGAAAACCAGGATGAATGGCACTACATCATTTCAAGATTACCTCAGTCTGCATCGTGACGAAGTGTGTACTGATGTCGCCTCAATATCGTTACCACAAGGGCATCCGAGGACACCATCTAAAATACAGCTACTCTAGTTTAATCCATTATTTAGCCAGGTCAAATACCCTTCTCTTAACCCCCGTTTCGTGATTGTCTGCTCAGAGCTCAACCAACACACAAAGCAAAGCACTATAAGCAAATATTTTCAGCTTAGCCTAGCGCAATTGACTAAACTCATACATCTCCAGACGGAACCCAGGTATATTCAGTATATACCTGTATTATTTTTGTCGAGGTATAAAGCTTTCGAAAGCATTGGCCCACTTAAATTACACAGATGTCCGACGGTTAATCTTCCCGGGATCGCCGATTCGGTTTTTACGAATGGAGGAGATCCCCAGCAGCCCGATATCAGAGTTTACTAGCTAGGTAGGCGATCCGAAAGAAGGAGAGCTACGAGGTTATATGTAATAGATCATAAAAGACTAGTTTGCGACCCAATTTCTATTCTGGGTTTCATGTTAGACACGCGTTCTGAAACGACGAGTTCCAGGGCCGCGCTGCTTGGGCGGATTTAAAGGACAAGTTTTCATGCCGAGCCACTCCGGTGTTATCTACCAATCAAACAACAATCCCTTGAAATAAAAATGTTTTCACCATTTAATTTTATTTATGCACTTTGCAGTGGTGGTGTAAGTGACGTTTGAGTGTATTTGTATTAAGGTTTTATTGCTGATGGGGTTAGTTTTTTTTTGTGTTAACGCGATCACAATGCAAAGCAACATGTTCCGCACTTTCAACGCGTTCGGACGATTTGGACAGTAAGGGTGGTCTGTCAATTGAAAGCGGTGTAGGTATTCCAGAACATATCCATGGACGCTTATGATGTGGGTTTGATAAAAATCAACGTCACCATGTTTCCTACTTATCAAGTATTCGATATGAGGGACTAGTTTGTAGGTTTAGAATGCACCCATCTACTTTGTCATTCCTCCATAGAGCAAATTTCTTTTTCAACCGATGCCGGCGACACCGCTTGTCAGTTGTACAGACAGCGTATTTCACTTCCGTGAATATCCAGTGGAAGTCTTCCCGCAATAATTCAAATTGCCTACCATTATGTACTCACCGGCAATTCGTAGAGACTCGTAGAGCAGCGGCTTCAGCGGCTATACAGTTTATGTATTTATGTATGTGGGGCATAGCAACTCTTCACCAGTCCTTCACCTCTTCAACTGACTCTTATAGCGATGTTCTTTTAGTTGGATATTGACGATATAATACATTTGCTGAATTTGGTGATAACTGAACTTGACCGCAAAGGCAAAAATCAGATAGATGATGAGAAATCCGTGCATGCGGTGCTTAATTAGAAGGCAATAGAATACTCTTAAGGAATTTTTAAGTAGTAAAAGTTAAAACCTTATTCTATATTGATTTAGTTGCTTGATTTTTCCGATAGGGTAGGCTGATTAATTTTACAACGAATTTTCGTCCTCCCTTGTCAAGTTTGGTTTGAAGACAAACTGGTTCCGACAAGGGATGATGTAAGTTTGTTCCAAAATAAATCATCTCTGTTCTATAACTCTTCTTCGAAGATGATCGTTTGACGATATTTATTTATTTATTTAGCTTAGTTCCTTTTCAGGCTCACTGCCCATTGCAGCTGAAAATAAACTTAGCAAAATACCAATTTACACGTATGTAAATTCCAAAGAAAAACAAGAATTACAACAAGTGTCCAAAATGTATTTCGCTTACACGCAATTTAACTAACAATGTAGAAAAATTATTAAAATTTCTACGACTCCCTATTTGCATAAAAGCGAATTGCTGACAAACCACCCCAGCGCTTAATCAGCATCGAATGAAGTGCAGTGAAGCAAAGCAAATATAATACAATAACCAAACAAAAATAGTAAACTAACTGACCGCAATTGTAATGAAATATTTATTTTATTTCGTATTTATTCATATCAACTATATATGTAGTTACATAGAAATACTTTTACTACACTCATTTACGTTTGCCACTTAAGCATTTGTATGACCAACTTGGGGTTACCCTTGGAATTGATATCAATTTTCGGCACATTTTTATTGTAATTATAAGCGCATTTGTTACATTTTTCCAATGTCGATAGAGAAAACATAAAAATTATTTATTGATAACAACATAAGTACTTGTGAAGACACCACATGCATACTTAAGCGTGGCATTAGTGTTGAAGTTGCACGTGTGAAGTGGTCTTTGGGGAGGATTTTATGCGTTGCTGCTGATGAACATTGCCGATGGCACAGTTGAACTAAATATAAAACAAAATGTTGTTTGTGGCTGTTAGGGGGCAGTCGTATTGCGGGCATTTGGCACTTTCAGGTGTTGCTAGCCGAAAAACAATGCAAGGGATGATATTGAATATGAGCAGCGTAAAAGTGATACAATAATACACTTAATAGCCTATTAAATGCTATTGAGATTAGTATTTGGGCACGCTTTTGATTTACATGCATGCTTGCAGTGAACTGAATACTTTGTTGATTTTTCACAAAAGTTTGTATAACTTCTGCCAAGATTTCAACATGAAATTGACCATTGTCATGAGATGGGATATACTTGTTTAGAGCTCTCATTGATAGTTTCGCTTCCCTTTTGTGAGCTTTATAATAAAACATTCTTAGTAGTGAATGCTGCAAAGAATTTATAGAAGTACACTCTAAAAAATTTTTGTTTAAATTTGCGCATATTAGGATAAGCGTTTGACAGAATCGGCATACATGTAGTGTTGAGACAACTTAAAAAATGGAACATTGGCCAAAAGATATTTAACTTTGTAAAAAGCTTTTTAACAAACCGCACTTTCCGAACAAAAGTCAACAATAANGATAAGTAACCACTTTTCCCCCTAAATGCACGCAAATTTACATACCGTGTAATAAAATTAAACACTTGCTGTTTACTTTTACATACTAAATTTGTCGCTTAGGGAAAAACAGCCAAATCTTGAACATCGCAAACATACGCATAGCACAGATTCTGGTTGAAAAATATCACTTTTCAGTAGTAGTTTTATTTGCTTTTTAAGAGTGTATGCCAGAAAGAAGCAATAACGCATTTTGGCCAGAGTAAATTGGCATTGGAACTGCAACCCTATAAGAAGAGTTGTGGTTGCCACTGCAGTTCAAATCCATGCGTCAAAGTCTTGCTCCAGACGCCAACTTTTGCCAGTAGCAGAAGCTGACATGAGTTGTCGCTTTGTGAACCATTTTAGTGATGTTTGGTCTCCAGTTTAATTCGTCATCCTAAATAAAGCCTTGATATCTGTCCTGTCCAATCCTCTTCGGTTTTATAGCATCGAGGTAGATTATTGGGTCGCGAAGAGCTCAGTTTTTCGTCTCTCAACACATCGATCTCAAAAAAAAAAATGCCTAATCCTGCGAGGCAGAGATACAAAAATAGGACCGCCGTCTGAGCCTTTTCAAGGCAGTAAGGATCACTGTCACACGTTTGTTCCACATAAAATGTCCAACCAGTTTCTGACGGGATGGCTTCGGTGGCCGAAGTTGGTAATGCTCTAACTGGTTGTAGACCGAGGAATATCTGGTTTCAGCCCTCCTTGGCCTTATTACCAGCTACTCCCGAGTGACCTGATACCCAAGGTAATACAAGCTCGATATGTTTTCCAACATAATTTAGTCGAGTCTTGAATTGCCGATTGCCAAATTGAAAGTAGCTAGAGGGGTTGGAAAGTGAAGCTCATCTCCATTATCTTCGATATAGACACCCAATTCTGACCCAGTGTATGTGTTGGAGCCATCGGTAAAGGTTCGATAATGTGTAGGCTCGGGCTCGGCCTCAGGGAATTCAACCTTGTAAAATCTTCTTTAAATTATTTATCAGTCGAGCTTTTCAGTTCTGAATTTATAATCCGATCTTTGAAGAGGGGTTCTTCACAAACGGTACTAAGGTGCCTACAACCTTACCTTTCTTAAATGAGTGTTTAACCGCTGAAAATCTTAATACGGATGTCCAGTATGCATTTCAGTGTCCTCAGTAAGAAGGGTGAGAGGCTTAACGGATTTTCATTGGATTTTAAGCCTTTGTCTATAAGTTATTCCCTGTTCTGATTTTCGAATATTCAGAAAGTGAGTCCATATAAGGATATTGTGGATCCGCTGCTCGTCAATTCATCCTTGTTTGTTGGCATCTAGGTTGCAAAGTGTGAACACCGTTTTGACAGCTTTAAATGAAAAAGATAGTATAAGATATATAAGAGTACAGCACAGTGCCCTCCCTACTATATACAGATGTGTAAGGTTTTAAAACTGAAAAAATTAATTAGGATTCGCTACCAGAATTTTAAATAACTGTTTTTTTCATCGCACAATTCCGCCGAAAAAAATTGTGTGTCCAACTATAAGTTAGCGAGTGTATGAATTGATATCTATGAACAACTTCAAGAATTTGTAAAATTTATCAGATTTTAAGTTAAACTTTATTTTAGAATGTTCGAAAGGAATTTAAATTTATTCAAACCTTGCTGGCTGCCCCTAAAATTTGGTGCAAATTTTGAGATTTTCATGAACTTCCTGACTTTGTACGCGGAACAAAATAGAGGGTGGGACACCCCTTTATATGTTGATATTTTAAGGTCTCTCCTTATATATATGTATTTATGCAACCGTAAGAGATTATTCTCTTTGTAATTCTTCCAATAGATCAATTTTCTACATGCAATATACATAAGTCCGAAAAAGTCTATTTCGAGTGACGTAATATAATTTTTTTCTTTTTATTTCTTCTCGCAGCAATTCAAATCCTTCATCTGGCCAACTGTCGTCACAGTAATCGTTGTAGCAATGGGTTGTGGCTTCCTTGTGGCGCGATGAGTGCCCAAAATGTGAAGCAGCCGCAGCATCAGCGTCAGCCGCAATACTTACTTACAATTAGAATGAAAAAGCAGCAGAAAAGCAATGCATACAAAAATAATTATTTACAATGAAAAAATATTTAAAAAATAAAATAAATAAAATTGCGAAAGGAAACATAAAACATAAATAAAAGTGGCTAAACAACAACAAACACGTGAAATGTTTTGAATGCAAAGAAGGAGTTGAAAAACAAATTTTTGAGGTGAAAGAACCTACACGACAAATGCGGAATGTGAAATCTTGAACGTACGCAGCGCGTGGAATGAGGCGACTTATACGCCGCGCAAAAGTGAGAACAACCGGAGAGCCGAAACAAAAAGAGAAGCAAATGTGTGATTGAAGAAAGAGACAGTTTTGAAGAATGGAATGAAATTCGTCGATCGATAAGGCGCCATGCCAAATGGATTGTATTTGAATTGTAGCATTCAACGCTTGAAGAGCAGCGGTGCCAAAAGTTTGCCGAAATTGGAAGACTCACATGAAAAGGCGTAAGATTTATGATATTTTATGATAGAAGCAGAGAGAAAGGAGAGACAGCGCGCGCAATTAGCGACAACGAAACCGAATTTTTAGCAACGAAGCTTTTTTCTTAACTAAACAAACGAATTCAAAGTTGAAACGAAATGGTAGTGAAAGCGAAAAACTAAAAAAATATCTGTAAAGCTGAAGAGAGTATTTTTGTAAAATGTAAATTTTTATAATACATATAAAGAAACTACTTACTTTACCGTATTTAGACGTGGAAATTTTGCAGACAAAACATTTTTGTATTCTACAACATAAACGGGTATTCAAATTGGCGCTAAATACTTACATACTTGTATAAGCAACTTTTGTGCATAAAGCAAATATTTTTTACAGTGAGTTTTTTATACAATTTCTAATTTTTGACGTGAAACAAGTAAGACTGTTCGGTATAAAAAGACAGCATATGTACTAAAAACTTTAACAAAAAATTACTTGGCAATAAAATTTTATAAAATAGATAAGAACTAAACAAAAAAATGACTACAAATATTTTTTGAAGCTTGTTGAAATATGCACTTACTTTTGGAAACAAATTCATAAAACTTGAAGACTAAAAATTGTTAAAAGTGTACAACTTTCGTATGCTACATTTGCTTAAATATTTAATTTGAAATTTAAAGAAAAAAAATTTGTTGGGAGTTTTGAAAATTTTTGAAAATTGTAATTCGAAAAAATTGCAGTATTTTTTATAACATTTTTCAATATGGTATCAAAATATCTATACATATGTATATGTATGTAGGAGCCTGAAATATATATATAAAAAAACACTTTTTGATAAAAGATTTACAATTTTGTATTAAAATAAAAAACAATTAAAAGAAGCAAAAAAAGATATCTCAGAAATTGAAACTCAAATGCAAGGTTATATTTTTCAATGAGCTTAAAAAACGATACAAACTCAAATTTTGCAATGACATAAGCTTAACTTACAATTAAAACTAACATATGAAACTAAATTTCCGAGCAACAAATGGCTAGGATGTCAATTATCCACAATCACCAACAAAGAAAGTTAAAACTTAACAATAACAAAACTAGAATTTCATAAAAAATTTCAGCAAATATTAAACACGGTATATTTTTCAATAATCAAAGCAACTACAAACTGAAAAAATATATTGAAAATACACCATAATACAAAAATACTTATTTAATTTTTTTGATTTTTGAAGAAAAATTTTTAATTTAACAGAGTTCCCAAAGTAGATAAAGGGTTCGCCTTTAATGGATTACGAAATCGTTTGCACCGAATTTTTTCAAATTTTGACTGTGCCGATAATCAAATGTCACTGTTTCATACTCTAAGTCCTTTGGAAAAACCACCCCCTGATGCCTTAGGCCGCGTTTGTCTGGCCTAAAACGGTTGACACCTAGTCCCATATGCAGGGAGTCAGTACGTTTGAGGATCTAGGCAGCATCTAAGACACTGCTGAAAATTCCAAATCCAATTGCGCTTTTGTGGCGCTGTGGCGGCCTAAGCGATTTTTCCGGGTCCAATAAAGCAAATATAAACCTTAACTTGAAAAGCTCTGTAGCTAAGAGCGGTCAAAGACTTAGCATGTGTAACTGGCGTCCTCGGTTTTAAACAGAGTTGGGATTTTAACGGAGAGGTTTTCGCTTTAAAATTAATCATCAATTTTGAAGATTCCTACAGAATAAACGGAGAATCTGGCACACTTTCAAGTAACGAAAAGATTCCAATCTGGCTTACGGACTCTACAGTTAAATTACAGTAATGTTTTTCAGTTTGAGATCCATACAAAGTAGGCAACACATTTGCCCTTGTTCACGCAAAACCTATAAGCGAGTCATAAACCTTTTCCGTGGTTTAAGCTTTGTAAAGCTTTCTATAGTTTTCCTTGGACGCGTACAGAGAAAAAGTTCTCCCCGTACATTACTGCTAGAGACAGTCGGGCTACCATCACGGCACTCAAGTTTTTAAGACGGCAAGGACTAACTTGATAGGGTGATGGAAATCCAGCCACCTCATAGACAGCATATGTCAATCTTAACTGGGCCTCAACGAATAACGGCGTTTTGGAAAATGAAGAAGCCTACAATTCTTGGAAAGTTTCCGAACTTTCACAAAACTTTTATGTCTTATTCATAAAAATAAAATAGCTTTAAAAAGCTTGTCAAAGTGACATTTTCAAAACAAATTTTAGGTTTACAAAGCAATTACAGTTCTTCTTAACTTTTAATGAATTCGTGTGTCAGAATTTATATGATTTTTTTCAGTTTCGAGCTTTTAGCTTTTTCGATTACAAACAAATCCCCGCAGAAAACTTTGTGGTTTTCGAATCATAAAAAGCTCTACTTACAAATGAATTTTGATCAGTACGTTGCATGTGCGCTAACAGTTACTGCATATAATTAAATCATAAAGAAACGGTGATATTTTCTTTTGCAATGCATCAAAGAATTATAACTTTTTCTGAAATATGCATTATAATGTACTAAATGAATGCATAACATAAGTGGGAAGGTGCTAAAATCTTAATAACTAAAAAAACTTATTCATAAAACTCAATAATCTGAAAATAATAACAAAATACAAAAACTAAAATTTACACTGAAAATTATTAACACAGAACTTTTAAAAGTTAAAGTTAAGTATAAAACTTATAAACGAATTTACAAATTGTAAAATTAAAACACTATCTTTTACGAAAATAATTTAAATATTTTCACACAATAAAAATTAATATACTGCTTAAATCTAAAAAAAAATATCAAAGTCTTCGCTGTAATTCAAATTACAAACACATTTAATGCAATACAATAAGCAATTAAAGAAATAATTTTAAAATGTGTTTAAAAATTTACGAAAAATGCTTTAAAATAAAATAATTAATAAATAAGTTTAGTAAATTTTTTATAGTTTACATAGTAAGCACAATTTCATCGATTTCAGTGCTTAAGTAGTTGTAATTTTGAAAGCCATTTTTGTGATTTTTTATTTACGTGTGTTTTGCTGTTAAAAAGAAAGAAAATTTAAAAAACAGAACATTTATAAACGAATTTTGCCAAGTATTTTCTCGAAAATAGAAAATTTATAATAAAAATAAAATGACAATTAGAACTCTGAAATATTGTTTAAAATAAAAACAAAAATTAATAATGAGTAAAATAATTGAAAAAAGGTTAACAAAAAGCAAAATTAAATAGTTATAAGTAAAATTATAGAGGACGTAAATTTAAGTTGCAACTTCAAAAGAAGAAAAAAAACGATTTTCAAATTGGTCTCAACATTTTTTTTGTAATAAATAGTTATAATTTTTTAAACATAATTTCGTATGCTCTTAATATTTTATAAAAACGCATACATACGTATATTTGTGTGAAGGAGTTTTTGTGGAAAAAAGTTTAAAAGATTTTTTATCTAATCTTAAAAGCACTTCGAAGGAAACTTATTTCCAAGAATTTCCAAAATAAATAGAGCACAGAAGCTTTGACTTTTGTTGGGCGAAATCTTTATTAAAAGCTTTTAAAGTTTTTAGTGCGAAAGCTGCTAACTTTTGAGCTTACACGCGTGTTTAGAACATGTCTTCGAAATGACTTTAAAGCTTGTAACTTTATAAGGCTCACAAAAATCATAGAGTTATTACATGCTTCAACTTTAAAAAAAAGAATTTTTAAATTTCGATACAGAACATTTGCAAATTCCATTTATTGATGGTATCGTTAGCATTAAAACTAAAGATTTTATATATTCTGATGCAAAGATTTCACAAAGTCGTGTGTAGAGGCACATTTGGTAAAAGCTCTCTCTATCCATTACAGATTTCAAGTAAGCTGGTATCGTTTATTTTGTTACCAAATTTCTGCAAAACGGGGGTTATTTATTAGAGCTTCATTTCATTTTTATAATTAAAATTTTTTCCAGTAACGTTTATCACAATTTCCAATTTTGCCGCACTAAACTTTTTGAGTTTTCGATACATTTTGTATTCATAAGAGGCTTGGAAATGCTCTCTCTACCCATCTCTGTTTAAGACCAGCGTTTTGAAGCTTTCTACATTTTTCATATCGCTGGTCCTATAGACCGGCGACGGGAACCGCCCTGCCCGAAGGTAAAGCTCTTTTAAGTTTTCTATAAATTTTTTATAGGCGCGTGCAGAGTAAAAGCTCTCTCTGCCCATCGCTGCTGGCAAGACGTGCAGAGTTTTTCAGAGCTTTTTATTTATTGATATAAAACGGTGTTTGGGGAGAATTTTTCAACCTATAGACATTTTGTATTGATGCTTGCCGAGTAGACGGGAAAGGAACAAAAGCTGTTTTCTGGCCAAACTTAAGTAAGACAAATTTTGAGTTTTACAATAATGACTTCAGCAATAGAACTTAACGTTGGCTGCAGATTTGGCAAGTTTTTTTAGATTTCTTTTTATAATACTTATTAGTTTTTTGCGAATAAACTTTTAATAAACAAAAATTCACAAAAACGACATCACTGACAAATGTTAAAGTAGTAAGTGGTTGCCGCGCTGATTTTCAACTAAAAAAGTTTGAAAAAAAAAATTTCTGATCTCAGTTTCACAGTAAAAATCTGAAATTTATAAAGAATACATGGATCTCTAGTACCAAAGTCAGATAGTTAGCGAAAGAGCATTTTGGGATCAAGTTACGTTATTTTATTAAATATAATAAATAAAGGATGATATTTTCTTAAAAAAAATTACAAAACTTTTCTACTTGAAAGTCAGCAAGTTGCGTTTATAAAACATCTCTAGTCGACTTCAGAAATTTTTAAAATAGTTTACATACATTTTATGTTACAGTGCAGCCAAAACGCCGAAGCGAAAGGATTTTTAAAGACCTCTATAAACTTTATACCAGTTATGACCATATAGAGCTTTCACTCTGTGGGCTAAAATATAAAATCTATGGAAAGCTTTGAAAAGCTTACAAATATTTTAGTAATGACTCATGTCAGTTTTATACGGATGAACTCATAGTAAAAGCTCTCTCTGATCGTCCTGATGCATAACGAAAACATATGCTGAGGGAGAGGCTTTTGAAGGCTTTCCAAAGATTTTATATGGGAATGTAAGACGTAAAATCTCTGTGTGCACGTCGCTTATGTATACAAGTAATGACTAAATATCCCTTTTACTCTATGTTCATCCATATAAAGTCTGTTGAAAGCTTTAAAGAAGCTTCTTGCGATGGATATGTTTTGGTCGCAACTGATATGGACGGACACATAGTAAAAGGATCCTGCGCAACGCTAATTAAGAATAACCTCTTTCTGAAGTCGACTGGATTTTTACTACGAAAAAAAGCTACTCATGTACATAATTTAAAAAAAGGCATACGTGTTAAAAAATATATTAAAATGTAAAACAATTTTGCGCATAAATACCACACATAAGTTAATAGAAATAAAAGAAATTTCTAAATTCATGGCAATTTTGTAAACTAAATTAGAAAAAATAATGGAAATGAAATTTGTAACATAAAACAATTCCCAAAAAACGCAATGATCTCATGCCGTTAAATAAATTATAATTTCTTATATAAATTTTATGTTTTTGAACACAAAGTAAAATAAAAAAAAAAAATATGCTAGTATGATAAATTCAGAGCGTTATGTACATAGCAAAAATTTAGTTCAATTTTTTGCTCCAAATTGGCAAATTTTTGCAAAACAAAACGCAATGACCAATACCACTCAAGATATAAAAAGCGGCGGTAAAAACAACAACAGCACAACCACCACTACAACAGCAACCACCAATCTTAAATATTTAAATTGAATTAGTTGTAATTGCTTACGAATATTTTATTATAGTTATAATTATAAAAATCTTTAGCATTTAATTTTATTTGCTTAGTTTACTATGAAAATGCAAAAAATACACCTTAAAAAATAAAAAAATAAAAAACAAGTGATTGCAAAATTTTCTTGTCATTAGACGTTTTCTCGCTTTTAAATAAATAATTTCTAGTTGAATTCGTTTATGTGTAAAAAGCATTGTTGTAATTTATATAATCTAAGCAAACATATGTGCCTAGTTGTAATTAATTTGTAGTTTTTTATATCTTTGCATTTAAAAATATTTCGGTGCATTAACAGCGCCGATTTTTTGTAAATTTCAATATTTTTTTCTCTTTTTACATAATAGTTAAGAAGAACCATATTAAAGTAGACTCTACTTAAAAGAGACAAGTTTATGGCAACAAAATTAATGTGAAGTGGTCCATAAGAAGCAAAGGCTTCACAAAAATCTTTAAGATGCATTTCAAGCTTTCAAAAGCACCGTTTATGTATTCAGCAAATATAATTTTTTGCCTTATTTATATTTTTTCCAACGAATTTTTTCATAAAACAATATTACATTTTCATAATTTAAATACCTAACAATAATTTTACTTTTTTTATAGTTTGAAATGAAAAAGCTTTGGTCAGCATGAGTATAATTGTTGGTGGATTATACTGAATTAAAAACACAAAGAAGAAAGGTCGAAGCGAGAAATATCAGCAAAAGTGGTATAAAAGTTTTCGCTTAAAAAAGCTCAGGAGAAGGAAAGCTTTCTGTTTGAAAAAAGCTCTCCAAAAACTTTAATTTGAAATTATACTCCAAAACTAATCCACTTTTTTCACAATCAAATAATTTGTTCACAAAAAATATCCACCAACAATTAGTGCTTTTAAGCTCACTCAGTACAATTCATATATGTACTCAGTTATTGCACAATTTTACTTTTACAATATACTCGACGCAAAGCGCATTAATGCATTACTCAAACTATAAAAAAAATGATCGTGGAAACATACACAGTTTGTACTTCGCTTACTTAACAGAAAGAAAAATAGCCATAATTTCTCACAGTGTAGTAAATTCCATAGAAAATCAACAATTAAAACGAAGCGATACGAAACAAAACGAATTAAATTGAAATTAAACGATTTGTAAATTTTTACCAAATGAGCCGCAAAAGTTTAACCAGATATGATATTTCCCAACCATTATATAAGACATATTTTTCTTTGTGTACGGAAATGTCAATTTGGTTACATTTAAGCTTTACGCAGGCTCATTTTTAGTAGTTTTCACAATGATCTCGGTATATTTTGTACTCACTCAATGAAAGGGGGCAACTACAAAGCGAGTACTGTATGGTAGTGTTTGGAGAGGAGGTTGCAGAACTCAGCAAAGAAAACAGCGATGTTGCCGAATTTCACTAAGTTTTCAGAACAATGCCACACCTTGCATTGCTTTACCAGTTAAACGCGCGCCGTAGACTAGCCCCCGGAGTGAGTGTCCAAAAAAAAAGTTACAATTAAAAAATTCTGTTAATTTGTAATTCCATGCATTTAGTCAGTTAGTAAAAGAAGTAAATAAGTAAAAATAAAACAAAATAAAAACAATCATTTAATTTTTTAGTATATATTTTAACGTTGTCATTTATTTCATCAATTGCCATTAAAAATCTCATTCTCAATGTGTAGTTTGTAAAGAAAAAAAAGTCATGCATTCGCTCAAATTGCCAAACAAAAGCCACAAAAAACGCATAACATTATAACGTACGCACATACATACATACATACATACATACATACATACACTTACTTAAGACAGGTAAAGATAATTTGTAAATAGCGCAAATTTTTATTAATATCTACTAAGCTAAGTTTAATCTAATTATTACACTCGTTTTCGTTCTTTTACTTATCGTTATTTTACTCGACCGCAGAATACTTGCTAGCGGTGTTGCCAAATTTCCACGTCAAGTGCTGCCAATCATTAACACTTATAGAAAACTTATTTGTTTACATACTTACTTGTATTCATAAAATATTTATAATAAAAGAATAAGAAAATATTTTTTTTTAGCTTTTTTTGCTCGCTTTAAAGTTGTTTATTTCAAAATTTTATGAATTATAAAAATATATATGTGGACACATACATTTATTTGATTTATTTTTTCACGTTTAAATCTTTCTTATGCCTTACTTAATTGCATTGCTTTTAATACTGTACATTATTTGTTTACACAAATTTAATTTGTTTATTTTTTATTTGCTTTAATCGTATTTGTAAAATAGTAAAAATATCATTTAGTTTTTAAACAGTTATAAGATATGTATGCTTATGATTTTTTTTGTAAAAAAAAATGTGAATTAATCTTTATAATTTATGTAGAAAGCATTAAAGCAAAAATGTATACATGCATAAATAACAGTAAAGAAGTATATTATAAATATGCACACAAGTATATTATAAAATAAAAATCATTATTATGATCTCATGAATGTTTATCAGAAATACAACATATACTATATTAAATATACTATTAAAGAAATTTATATAAATAAATAAAAAATCGCAAAAGTTGAAGCAATATGTTAAAATCTTTTTCTTAGCAGGAATTTTTCGGATTAGCTTTTACCGGGCGCGCATTAAATACTAAATAATGTTATAGTACGAGAACTAGAATATGCTTCCTTACTATGGAATCCGCTCTACTCAATTTATTTGGGTAGAACTGAGAGAGTACCCCGCAGTTTTATACACTTTGATATCAAACATCTTCATTTTACCGACATCTTTTTATGTTTTATTGGCCCTTGGTAAGCGCAATGAAACAACTTTTCCGTACCGGAGATCCACTCAATCGCTCTTGTTTCTTTCTGATATCGTTACTGTATTTATTGATTGATTTAGGTATGTATGTACTGCAGCAGATAAGTTGCTGAGACAAGTAGTCAGAAGTTACCTTTAGCTCTTCTTCTAAAATATGTAAAAATTTCATAGCTGTATTCACTAATAGTGTCTTCCTAGAACAAAAAAATTATTCATTTTTACTATGGAAGTATACTGACGGCTGAATGGAAGATCGACCTATCTCGGCAGCCAGTTCGAAAATGCCTTATCTCAGAAAGTTTTTCAACAACGCCCTACCTCAGAAATTGGTTGAAAAACGTCCTATTTCAGAATTTGATTGAAAAACACTCAATAACTCTGTTCAACAATGCCCTATCTCAACTGGAAATCCACCAAAAATGTGCTGAGGTAGGGTGTTTTTGAATTTTCTTAGATAGGGCGTTTTCGAACTGGCAGCTGAAATAGGTCGATCTTTCACCCAGCCATCGATATGTAAATTTAGAACTTTGGAGCCGTTTTTCTCGCTTTTTTGAGTTTTTTTTCCTGTAGGGTCTTTCTGTTACGAAGTTTTCTTTGAGAGGGGAAAAAACATTTAAAGTAGCCATTTTTGAAAACATCGGTTTTCAATTCATTATCTATCACTGGTAGCTAACGAGAAATTCTAATCTGCGGTCGTCCATATAAAATCTATAGAGAGAGCTCTAAAAAAAAAGCTTCTCACGCGGTCACGAATGAAACATATCTCAAACATAACATATTTGCAAACCTTTCTACAGATTTATACGATAACTAGTAAGCCCGGGCGGACGTTGGCCTGCTACACACCGATACATAGGCAGGTTACATGCATCGTAGATATCATGGGTCTTCATACTGAAGCTTAGTACTCGGTAACTCGCTGTTCGGTAATTTTTTCCCATGTATTTTGTTTGTGTTACACTATTACACTATTACAAAAACAAAATACATTAGAAAAACTTACCGGACACCGAGTTACCGAATGGCGAGCTCGGTGTGAAGACCCATATTGTTTCTTACGTTTTATTTGATATCGAAATTTGAAAAAAAACACGATCTCTGGTTACAGTTCAAACATCAGCCAGGGGAATGGATAACATTGGATTGTATCCAAACGGTAAATTGTTTGATGCTGTTGATGTCAGCATGTTTATTTGTATAAATCACTGATGGGCACTGCCTTGCTCGCGGGCAAAGCTCTTTTAAGATTTCTATACATTCTATATAGAGGCGAGCAGAGTAAAAGCTCTCTCTGCCCATCGCTGGTATAAATAAATACTACAATATATGTTGTTTTTATCCTGCCTATTTCTCCCCAACATAAACATACATATGAAGCGTAGCCGCGAATAACATTGGAAAACTCCCGCTTCGGATATGGGCAGTTTGTAGTTAGCGTAAACTAACAGAGCGACTTGTTAAGGGGTTAATTAGAAGCCTGTGGCGCCTCTGGTTGTGCATGTATTGGAGGGCTAAAGATTAGAATGCTTTCGCTAAGGATTAGAATGCTCATAGTATCACAACTTCTACGTAAGTTAATCTCTACACACAATCGAATGGTTTGAACCTGCGAAATGGTCGGGAATTACCTATAGGCTATACATGACAGATATGACTGCTATAAAGTCTTCTGTATACCAATGCAGAGTACTCGTAGGGAGATTTTCCTCCATAATACAGTTACCTCGGATTGCTTTGCTGCAGAGACAACATCCTGGTACTCCGTGACATACGTAAAGTAGACAGAAATTATAACGAGTGCACTTGCCTCTCCGTCACCTGAGCGGATCTGCGATTTATGGCAAGGTGAACAACAACCGGTAGTCGAGAATGGAGGAGAGACGTGTCATTCAAAGGAAGAAAAAAGAAGCCAAAATGCATGTTCTCAAAGAGAATGGCAGGAAGTCCAAGTTTAAAAATGTCTCAAAAGATCCATCTCAAATGGATGATTATTTTGATTCTATACATGTATTTAATATTCTGATAGAAATTGTACTAGTATTCCCCAGGATCCACAGGCATCCGGTGTTGTATAAATTGTATTTTCACGATAGCATTCGAGAGCGTATTTCACGGGCTCAACAGTGGTAGCTGAAATATCGGCAGTTATTGGAATTGTTCTCATCTTTAATGGCAAGTTCAATATCTAGTACACAAGAGTCTCTCCACAGAAGGGTTCCATCATTTTTCCGAGTCCTTTCAGGGCTGAGAACATTTTTGTGATTTCGTTCATTTCCAATGACCTTGGTGAGAGTGCGGCGCCGTGCGGTGAAATGTGGTTGAATTTGCTAGACACGGTTTCTCAGTACTTTTGCCTAAGATGAAGAAGTATAAAAGATTATTGGCGTACTTCAAGGTTACAAAATTTGTGCAAAGAAAGACTGTAACACGAATTGTTAAGAAATAAAAATGTAAAGGTATTTTTACGTTTATTTTTAAACAAAACTTGAGTTATTAAATGCAACAGTAACAACACACTGTTGGATGCTGCCTTTAAGCCTATTGGATTTTACGTAGAAAAGTATTAGCTATAGAATAAAACACAACTCAGATGTGGCGCATTTAATTTTAGTATAATAAAGTGCAAGTTTAAAGAAGCTGGCACTTATGGTTGATATTGGATTTTTTTTTTGTTGAAGGTGTTGCTCATTTTCTTCATATCACCGAACATACTTTATATGGAAGAAAATGACTTATCAAAAATCAACGGTCAGTCCTAGCTGCTTCAAACTGCAAAACTGCGTACTCAAGATTTTTCTAAAGATTCTAATTTAAAGGCCCGAAATTTACCAGACGCCTTACTGGATCCGCCATTTCGAAATTTGCAATTAGAATTTTGGCCGCACTTTTGAATTTCGGCACACCGTCCGGTGAGCCAATAACCCAGTGTGGAAACTTGGAAAA